GGTGGGACTGTCAGGGCTCAGTGGAAGCGCCAGGATCAGTGCCAGGCTCCAGCTGGAGCTCAGCGCTGATCCTGGCGCTTCCGCTGAGCCCTGACATCCCTTCAGCTCCAGCCATCTCTCACTCAGGCTTGTGTGGTGCTGCCACCAGTTCAGCTCATTCCCCTCCCCCGCTACTTTTCTAGGAAGGTCACGTACCACCTGCCAGGTGCCAATGGTACCCATACCACTGGTCTTACTCATTTACTCACTCATTCAATCAATCAGAATAGAGCTGGAAGGGACCTTGGAGGTTTTCTTGTACAACCCCCTGCTCAACAGGAGACCCTGTACCATTTCAGACAAGTGGCTGTCCATTCTCATAATCAAGTTATATACATCACGTTTTCCTTATGTATTTGTCTTTCAAACTAATTCACATCTTTGAAGTAATCCATCGCTTCCTTTGTGATTTGTTATATGGTTTTAATTAAAAAAAATCAAAGCACAAAAATTTTAAGTCATTTATAGAATGTACAAAATTTACAACAACATTAACAGCCAGGATTGCTATTTACATAGGAAACATTCACAAGAATACCAACCAACAAACAGAAAGAAAACTAAACGAAAACCAAAGACAAAGATAGCAGAATAACCAGGAAATTTGGACAAAAACCAAAGACAAAGATAGCAGAATAACCAGGAAATTTGGCACACATTTGGCTTCAGATTATCATGCCCTGATGGTATTCTCCCCTTCATAATGAAATGGAATGGATAAGGAATATATATATATGTGTGTGTGTGTGTGTGTGTGTGTGTGTGTGTGTGTTTTCTGAGGTTTTCGCGGGTGTTTGTATGTAGGTCTTTGGTTTCGTGCTTCAAGGAGCACGAAGCTCCTTGAAGCACGAAGCTGAAAACACCAGCCTGAAGATGACGAATGCGACTTCGTTGAAACGTTGCCAAGACACTTCCAATTTTACGCGGGAGAAAACCCAAATAACCAAAGACCTACCTACATATATATATTTCCATCCTAAACATCTAAATTCAAAATCAAACACAAAAGGCTTGACTTACAGGTTACAACATCATCACGCTTGAATTGTAAAAATCCAAATTAAGTTTAAGAAGTACAGTACTGTATGTTGGAATTCAAATGAGTAACAAACCTGGGCAACATTTGCTACATTCATAAAGCTGCAGATTTTACAGACAGGATAATTATATCATGTTCACTTCTAAACAAGAAGTATTAACCCAAACCGATGTCTCGAGTCACCCAGATATGTCAATAGATGACTATATCATGCAATACCCACCACCTTTCAGAGCGTTCACAAGATATACAATACAAAGGACTGCATCCAACGGGGTCCCAAACAGGACAAACACTTTCTCCATGTTTGTGCATCTATCAAATCTGTTCCAGAGGTTGGGAGACACCCTCTCCTCGGAGCAGGCTGGGAGGTATGTGCAAGGGGGAAGACGAATGAAAGTTTAATTTCACCGCACAAATGGAGACCTGATTGTACTACACTAAACACAGCTTGTTATTTTATGACAAACAGTTACTGCAAAGAATTCTATTTAGGGCAGATCTTCATATAGGTATTACTTAGTAAATCTTGACCACGTGACGTCTTCTTTCTGTACAACTTGTAGCAGAGCCAATAACAACTTGGTTTTTTTCCCTCACTACAATTCCAGCCATCTCTTCAAAAAATGGATGTTGTAGTCATGGAAACATCTCGCCCAATCCCAAAGATGTTTTTTCAAAAGGCAACTGGACTTCCTTTGCTTTTCCTTGAAGCCGTCTATGGAAATTCTCAGTCGTCCAGGACAGGTCATGGTTGTCCCAAAGGTTGTTTCTTCAAAAGGCAATTGGACTTTTTGCTTGAAGACGTTTCGCTTCTCATCCAAGAAACTTTTTCAGTTCTCAGGACGTTTCTTGGATAAGCAGCGAAACATCTTCAAGGAAAAAACAAAGAAAGCCCAGTTGCCTTTTGAAAAAAGCACCTCGGGGATTTCCTTGAGGACATTTTGCTTCTCATCCAAGAAACTTCTTCAGTCTGTGGAAGATCCTTGGATGAAAAGCAGGAAGGAAAAAAGAAAGTCCAGTTGCCTTTTGAAAAGGCACCTTTGGGACAACTATAATAATAATAATAATAACATTGGAAGGGACCTTGGAGGTCATCGAGTCCAACCCCCTGCTCAGGCAGGTAACCCTATACCATTTCGGACAAATGGCTGTCCAGTCTCTTCTTAAAAACTTCCAGTGTTGGAGCATTCACAACTTCTGGAGGCAGATTGTTCCACTGGTTAATTCTTCTAACTGTCAGGAAGTTTCTCCTTAGTTTTAGGTTGCTTCTCTCCTTGCTTAGTTTCCATCAGTTGCTTCTTCTCCTGCCTTCAGGCACTTTGGAGAATAGCTTGACTCCCTCTTCTTTGTGGCAGCCCCTGAGACTTGGATGACTGAGAATCTCCATAGACATCGCATACAATCTGAACCCACTACATGAGAAGTCACAGGAACACAGTGGGAATGGTATGCAGATGTTGTTTATAATTTCGTCCAACAAACCTCTTTCTTCAGTAAATGAGAAGGGAGAACTACAGTATCTAGGTTTCGGAGTGAGCGTGATTTTAAACACAGATCTTGAACATATTTTTTCACTTTTGGCACATAGAATAGTGGTCACATACTTATACTTGCTTTGGTAAATTGAGGGGCAGATTTGGAAACAGGTCCAATGTGACAACTTTCCATAGATGAACATGACTTCTTTTCAGCCAGGCTTCTATTGTTTGAAAGCAGTTGTTTTGAATATCCCTACAGTGTTACCTGGACCGTTCCAATTTTGCTTCCCTTGCAACCTGAGCTTATTCTACAATGTCAGATCTCAAGAAAGAATTCTAATCATTTTAATGGGGTGAGAGCACAGTCATTCAATATTTAATATGTCCTTGTCATCATCGTTGAAAGCGATACGCCTTTCCAAGAGGCCATCAACACACTTGAGCCTACAAAATTGTGAGTGCGAAGGAACATGCAGAAGCCAAATCCCCTGGAAAAGAGTGTGGGGAGGGGGGAGAGGAGAAACAAGTCCAAAGGGGGACAGAGCATTTAATTTCAATGACTTCTTAATCCTTACAGTAGATTTGGGTCTTCAAAGAGTGTCCCCCACTTTTAATTTTATGGAATTAAATTATTAGCTGCACGAATGAATAAATAAATAAATAAAAGAGTGGCAGGCGAGGGATCTATCTCCCTGTCCTATTTTCTGAGCATCCCAGAGGCATCTGTAGCAACCTTGAGAGGCTAAGAGCTGGTCTAAGATGGGCCTGATCCCATCAAACAGGGCTATTCTTTGGGTTCTCAAACGGGTTTGAAACATCATTCTCCTTCCATTTGAAAATCCTTTTATTTTATCAGACTTACACGAGAAACGCAGACCTCTTTGAGACATCCTTTTGCTTTTAGCTGGGGGAGGCAGTTCAGATATTTAACAGAACTGTATTGCCTAACAGGGCTGTGGAAGATTATAAAATGAAGGGCTTTGGACCTTGTGCTAGCCTAGCACTTCGCAGCCCTTCATTAAAGGAATCAGGCTTTCTTCAAGCTTCCACACAAAACAGAAAAGACGTGCAACTGCTTAAAAGCGCCATTGAGTTTAATAAGTGAGTTTCTTAAAGCAGCCACATCTTTTTTTTTTCAGGCTCTTGCACAAAAAAATATGAAAAAAGGTGGGTTGCTTTCATAAAAGCCTGACAAGAATTTGTGAAGCTTCAATAACCATTTCATTCACATCAGCACAAAAATGGCTGGTCTACATAACTTTTAAGGTTTAATGGATGGTCGTTTTTTGTTTTTTTAAAGTCTGCCCAGACCATGTAAAGCTAAATTTTCTTCTCCTTTCTCCCCCCCCCCCTTCTTTCTCTTTGCAACATGGATCTGTGCTGGCCAGAAATCAAATAGGTCCTGGAAGGAACAGAAACAGCAGCAGTGCTCATACATGTAGTTCTTGACTTGTGACTGGTTGCTTAAAGACCATTCAAAGTTATGACACGACTGCCCCAAAAGATAAGATACTGATGACCCGGTTCCAAAGATGGCTGCCCCTCCCTACAATCATGTGACTGCATTTCGGGTGCTCAGCAACCAGCCTGCTTTGACAGTTGTTTCCAGCATCTCATGGTCACATGATCATAATTTACGTTTTTGCTGAAAACCGGTATTTACTTTCGGTTTGCTTCCGGTTTTTGGCAAAAATGCCCCCTAGCGTACAATAGGTTTGATTAACAACTGCAATGATCGCTTAACGACTGCAGATTTGTTTAATGACCGTGGTGATTCACTTTAATTACCACCACAAAATAAAGGTCATAAAAATTGGGTTGGGCATGTGGGGGCCCTCCACTTTACAACCATCACAAGTTACAATCATGATTAGCAGGCTCCATTACACTCATAGGTTGAGGACTAGCTATAGTAACTTAAGACCACAACAATTCTAGCAATTCTAATCCTATTACACAAATACAAATATTGCAACCTGCAGTGAAAAAATAAATCACGCTGGATGGCACAAATGGTGTGTGGATTTGAAATAGTTCTTCTTGAGTGCAAGCCATTCCTCCACAATAAATCTCTATACCAAAAGCTCTGATCCAAGTTGAAATCCTTATTACAGTTGTTGCAGGAAACTCTTGTTGAAATAGGCCTATTTTTCTTACGGCCCAGAGATCCCCAACAAGTTTGTGATACACACATAGAGCTTCATGAAGGAAATGAAGATGGCGTGCATGCAGAGCAAATAACTAAAGGCAAGCTTCGATAAGCACATCAGACATAAGGCTGCATCATGCATAGTACTCTCTTAGGCATGTTTGCTCAATGGCAGGGATTCCCACAGTATTTACTCCGAGTACATACAAACAATTTGGCAATCTGACAGAGTGCAATGGGCCTTACTCTCAGCAACTGGGCACAGAATTACAGTCTCATTATATTAATTGGCTAGATTAAATAAAAATTTAATTTTTTTTTATAATTGGCATGACTATTTCAACAGCAAATTTAGAAAAAAAAACCTTAGGCATTTTAAAAATAAAATCCTTACCAGATTAAAGGACATTTTAGAAAAATTATTTGTCATCGTCGTACATCCAAGAGAATAACCACATGCCTGCTTAATACTCATGATAATGATTTTTCTAAAATGAATATTGATCCCCTATAGTTGATTAAAAGATATGGATTAAATCTAGTCGTAGCATAGGCCCTCTTAATATCATGGAGACCTTAGCTTGATTTCACTATGTCTAGTGCTATACTAATATAGACTACTAAATCTAGATGAAATCCAATACAATGATCAAGCTTAGATTGGTTTGATGCTGTAAGACAATTATCTAGAATCCTTTCTTGCATAGCAGAATAGTGTTATTTTGAAACCCTGGTTTTCAAATGGTATTGTATGTAATTTCTAGAAATACTCCTTTCACTAGACTAAACAATGGTTTAAAAAAAACCATACACCCATTTTAATGACTACAAAAGTTTTCCTTCAGAATAGTCAACTTATAACAAACCTCCTTTTTTTAAAGACACAGATCAGAAAGTATGGCTTCTGAGTCAGCCAAGGCTAAAAGGAATTCAAAGGATTGTTTTAAAATGTCACTAAAAAAAGAGAAAGCATTGAAAAGCATATATTAAATTAAGGTCATATTGTGTGCATAAATATTTTCAACCCACTGATTCCCTTGATGTTTAATTTATCTGAAAAGGTCTACGTAGCAAAGAGTGACAGGAGACCCAACATTATTATGGATGCATCTTGCCAATGTCTCTGTGTATGATTGATAGGCGTTGTTGTTGAAAAAATAGCATCACTAGAATTCCTAGGTAATGTTAAGTTGCAGATGTTTCCTTCACAGCAAGAAGTGCATACCTGGAAAAAAAAAAGACATAAATCATTTTTCTCAGAACTGATAGAAATTTCACTGTTGGAGGTAAGTTACATACTATACCTCAAAGTCTGATATATACACATACATACATACATACATATACATACACATACACACACACACACACACACACACACACACACACACACACACACACATATATATATATATATATATATATATATATATACACCATGTAGTTCCAAAAGCATGGTTGCTGTAAAGATGAAGGACATTAGAAAGGATAATTGGCAAATTAAAAAATAATAATTAGGCTGGTGTTCATAATATAGCTGTAATTAAAATCTGCTTAACCAACCACAAACCATTTTAATTGGGGGGAAACAGCTTGGTGATACATGTTTGATTAGAAGGTGCAGTTAACTCTTAACTGATATATTTCTGATGAACTATTCCTTGCAATTGGCTACCAAGCGAGGATGGGCAATTACCCTCCTATTTCATATCATCAAATAATGAATTACAGATATTGTATATTTTAAAACCTGATGGGGGGGGGGAGGTAATACATTTATGCCATGATACCAGAGAAGGTACTTTAAATTCTGTTAGAATGTCTTTCCCCAAAGCATTAAGCATACCATAAAACCACCTCCATCTATTAATCATTATTTATATTCCTAGAGGAAGAAGGGTCATTTTCCCCTTATTATTATCAACTTCTAAATCACAGGAAGGAAAGAGAAAAAAAAAGACTTAACAGTGGAAGTATCCATATAAAATGAAAGAACGTTAAATTCTGATTTCATATAAACGTACTTCTATGAAATTTCTAGCATTGGTTGGAAATCCCTGTTATCACTGCAGTGGGGGTCCAACTGCGAAATTCAGAAATATGCATTTCCATTTTATAAAAGGGGGGACAAAGTACTCCTTAAAATGAACTTTAGAGAAACCGACAATCCTTCAAGAACTCCAGGAAAGTTGCTCTAATAACTGTGTTGAGTGTGTGGAATATTTCACGTGGATCATTCTACCCACAAGAATTAGTTCAGGTAAACATCTGAAAACAGTAACTTATTGCTCTACTGTATGTCCAGGACATTGTTAGTTAACATTTCCTGGGTAACGTATATTGGCTGCATCAGTTTTTGAGTGGAGAACTTCTATTTTCTCACCTCTCCAAATGATGCCTCTTGGTAATCATCATCATCATTCACCAAGGGTTCCTAGTATACCTGTCTTCTCCACTACAAGACATCAGCATTGTTCCTGTTCTTAATCCCAATGATTTCTTTCATTAAATCTTTCTCATTCTGAGAATTACAGTCACAATTACAATGCCAAACAAAGCAACCAGTTTCAAGTTATGACCGTGAAACAGTTTCTCATAATGTTATGAAAAAAGAGACCAACACACCAATTCATTTCCGCTCTTCTCCTTACCTTGAGTCCTTTATGCTGGAGAGCGATGCATCCTGTAGTCAAACAATCCTCCAGTGGCACGCATCGTTTGGTGACTGATACACTCTTTCCATTGGCTTCCAGAGTATGTTGAGAATAGCAGTATCTTGTGGCTAGCAAGAGAAATATCAGTAAGTTTTATTTCTAGTGTAATTAGCTGTGTAATGCAATAAACTAGGTGGGAAAACAAATGTCCTGAAAGGCAATAGCAAATCATGCTGTTATCAAGAAAACTGCACCAGAAATCAAACTTGGCTATCTTTACAGAAGGTATCACAGTAAGTACCAGCATCTAGCTCATGGATGAACTCAAAAAACATTAAACAGGATCTGCTCAATTTAGCTGGGAAGCCACTAAGAAGGTTGTAGGCTAGAAAAGAAAGTCAAAACCACCCCTGCTCACAAGGAAATTACACAGATGTGTTCATGAAGTCATCAGGAATCAAGCTTTATTTGTACAGCAAGTTGGGAGACAGAGAGTGAGGAGGGAGGGGGGAGGGAGGGAGGGAGGGAGGGAGGAAGAGAGAGAGAGAGAGAGAGAGAGAGAGAGAACATTACAATCATTTCATAATTATAACTGCGTTTAATAAGGATAGAAGATTTTTTCCATCCCTTTTTTAAAAACAGTTTCAACTAACTTAATTCTATATTTAGGAAAGTTTTGCATTTACAGCAAGATGTTCTAGCATTAGATGCAAGAAACATTTTTTTTCATGTTATACTCTAAAGTTTTACATTGGCTTGATCAAAAAAGCTGCTGCGATTTTTTAAAAACTCCTAATACAATTCCCTGGCTATGCAGAGTATAGCAACATATCAATGGTCTCATATATGTCCAGATAATCTTTTTCACATGAAGTGATTATAGCATGTCATTTGCCTAGACAACAATGTCTAGAAGCCTAAGGACATCTATATGGGCAAAGTCCATATAGTCCAACCTTCCAAAGTGGTGGATGAAAAGCTAGACTGATGCTAAGAGTTTGCATGGGACATTTAAAACATCATCAGAAGAGATCTATATTCACTGCTTTCCTGTCAACATAAAGCTGATTTACCTCTGGGACAGTATACATCTGGGGCCCACTGGTTGCATTCGTAGTTATCTACTGCTTGTTCACAGGTAAAACATTTGAATCCACCAGGGTATGGAGTTGCTGAAAAATGCAGATCCAACCATGACATCAATTACAAGGTTAACTGGGATATTTTAAAAAAAATATTAAGGGACATATATATTACAGAAATAAAACTCACTGCATAGACTTTTCATATACTTAAAACAAGTTCAGCCTCAATGATAGGAGAAAATTTGGTTGAGCACATTTTTCGTACATATGTGTGTATGTGTATATAACCTCAGAAAACAAATATCTATAGTTATACCAACTTAACAAGATTCTTGTCAAGATAGATAAAACATTTAACATTTAAACCAAGATTCTGAAGAAGTCAGCTAAGTAGATTTGGATGCCACATCTTTTATCATTTTTTGAAAAAAAAAATAGAAAGAAATAGGACAGGATGGGGAAAATATAGGAAAAACATATCTGTTAACATAGTTTGCTTTCTCTATAGAAACTCAGCACAGCTTACACAGTGATCTTGTTTTATCCCAAGATGTCTTATGAGGCAAGTTGGACTAAAAGAGAGTGACATCATATGTGAGTTTTCACAGTTTAGAGAGGACCTGAACAGGGATCTACCCAACTGTAATCCAATATATTAATCACCATATCACACTGGCTGCAAAATGTTGGTCTAATGGTCAGTCAATCATAGCTTAAAATAGTTCATAGCAAATCCATGACTCATTTTCCACCCTCACCTAGAAATTTAAAAAATATTTTAAAATGATCACAGCTAGTCAACTGGCATAGAAGCTCCACTAGAAACTGTTGAAGGAAACGTCTTCATCATGGTTCAGTCCAAGTCGGGAATAAACAATATGCAACCTTCTTGCTAAAGCAGTCGCCATGTTGTTTATTCCCGGCTTGGACTGAACCACGATGAAGACTTTTTCCTTCAACAAAACAAATAACATCCTGCTATTAAGAGGTTTATCTTAACATTCATCCAATACCTACACTTCTGTTTCTTATGTACCCTGTGAAAATCTATTCAGATTCTTCCAGATATGAGTCCTAAATATATCTAACACATCTCCTTTCTAGTCTTTTCCTGGCTACGCACCCCCAATTTTCGTTATACAAGTCTTATTTTTTAATCTACTGATTGTCTATACTTTTTTTTTTAAAAAAACACCTTGATCCAATCTTCTTGCTATCAAGTGGCTAGGGCTGACACTCTCCCCCCCCAAAAAGAACACCCAACCCTGGCTACAAACCAATCATAGCAATCTATGCAACAAAATTGTACTGCCACTGCAGTGCAAGACAATGTGGTACCCTTTTTATTCTGTCGTTTTCATACTATTTTATCTGAAAGAAATGCCAAATAAAAACTTTGATTGCTGAGAAGCAAAGCACCGGCCTATAACTTCATTTTTATTGATAACAATGCCTCTATGACCCATGTAGCTTGTGTAAGCATTCTTAGAAATTTTTTTATTTTTTAAAAAAATGATGGGTGGCTGCAGGCCAGTTATTTAATAGCATCTCCACTTGTCTTGATGGTGGGATGGGAGGGGGAAGGTTAACATAAAGTAGAGTGGTAATGAGTGTGCTGGGAGTTGAGAGAGAGTAAAGAGGAGATAATAGATAATCTCAATCTATTTACCTTCTGGTAAATGGGTGCTTTGTGAAAAGCTCTGATGACTATCAGGGTCATTCAGAGGGAACAGCTACAGCTTGCTCTAAAAATTCCAAATGGACCAATTGCTCAATCAGAGTCAGTGGGTTAAGAGAGAAAACCAACTCTTGATTCAAGGAGACATTTGAGGTCCTGAAAGGGTTAATGTGCAGGATCGAGAAGGAGATACTGTTATCAGCCCTTTAGGCAACAGATGACATTTCAAACTCAGAGCATATTTTTAATACAGATGTTGTCAGGTTGCAAAGAATCAATCATTCTTAAGGTTGCTGCATAGGAGATTTATTCAAGTCTAGACAGGAGAATCTAGTCAACTAATGGTCAGCACTAAATGGGTGTTAGATAAGGGTCAACGGAATTCAAGGAAGGCTGGACTTGGATCTCTAGTGGCAACATAAAAATTCTAAACTGATGATGCATTTAACTCCACCTCCAGCTGTGCCTGCTCTTCTCTACAAATATAGCACTCCTATGCACATCTAGTCAAATGCAAGCAGAACTGAGTGAAACAAAAACATGGGGTTTACCTAACATTAGAACCACTAGTCAAATGCAAGCAGAACTGAGTGAAACAAAAACATGGGGTTTACCTAACATTAGAACCACATTTTTAAAAATTTTTGGAATAGGAAAGAGAGATAGCACAAATATTAAGTATGCACTACGAATGTCTTATGCACTGAACCCTCAGCAGCTTCAGCCTACTAAATTCCTTCCGTTCCCATTTTAAAATGTACCAAGTGATCATGAATTACACAAGAAAAACTCATTAAAGTATCAACAATTAAATCAACAACATTTGAAGGTTAAGAAGCCCCAAGGTTAGAGATACATCTACAAAGTCCTGTGTTAATTTTATCCATTATGTGAATCCTAACTATAGCTCAATGGAAGCAAAGATATACAAAAGGATGAAATGTTTTGTTTCACATTAAGAGAAAGAATATTTGAATACTGGGATTGAAGTTGTGATACGGAAAGGTACTGTTTCATAAACTGTTACTAAGATCTCCAAACATTTGCTCAACAGAATTTCATTTTTAATGTGTATCAGTGTGCCCATATAAAAAAAATGACAATAAAGGTTCTCTCTCTCTCTCTCTCTCTCTCTCTCTCTCTCTCTCTCTCGCTCTCTCTCTCTCTCGCTCTCTCTCTCCATCCATCTATTATAAGCAATATCTTTCTATATATAAAATGGTGTATTACTGTACACAGCAATTTGCCAGATTTAGCTGGGCTTGTTTTGTTTTTATTTCAAAAGAATTGGCTTTTTATATGGACATTGGCTACTGTATTCCACAAAAGCATCACCAATCTAACTCCATTCTTCCTCATGAGATAAAATGATTGTTCAGTGGCAAGCAGCCTCTATCAACATCATATATGGTTAGTAGACAAAAGATGTCCTGCATCTTGGAGCACTTCTACAATTTAGTACTATAACCTAAGAATGAACCAGCATCTCCTCAACAAAAGGTGAAAAGAAGCTGTACATTCTTAAGCAGTATCCTTAAAGTAATGGGGGTAGGGGCGTGGGAAACCTCCAATATTTATAAATATACAGCTAAGGAGATTGATTCCAATGCCCAAAGTATTTGAACATTTCCCCCCTCCCTTAGCTCTGCTAGCAATTTTCCACGTCTTCATCTACACACAATCCTCAACTTATGACCATTCATTTAGCAACCATTCAAAGTTACGACAGCACTGAAAAAAGTGACTTGGAACCGAGCCCCATACTTATGACCGTCAAAAGTGTCCCCAGAGTTATGTGACTGTGATCCAGGCACTTGGCAAAGCAGCATGCATTTACAAGGTTTGCACCATCCCGATGTCATGATGGCCATTTGAGACCTTCTCAGTTGACTTCTGCCAAGCAAAGCCAATGAGGGAAGCCTGATTTGCTTAAGGACCGCTTGTTTTGCTTAACAATTTTACCCCCCGCAAAAAAAAGAAAAGGTTGCAAACTGTTCAGCACAACAGGCTGAACAACACATCGCTCAGTGACATAACTTGCTCTCTGGATTGTGGTAATAATAAATTGAGGACTACCTGTATATTGGCACTTTTTTCTAGGTAAATAATGCTGTACGAAGAAAGCAAATTCTGCATTACTACCAAGAACTATAATTTTAAACAGGAACAACTGGTAGAAAACAGGCAATAGAGGCTGCAGTTATATTTTTATAGCCCATTGGAATTTTATGGAGATATGGGAAAACGTGATAGCACAAATACCAATGTCTTCCCTTCCAGTTCTTCTGTAACAAGAAGATCAACCTTCCATCTCTCTCATAATTTCTTCCAACGCTAAGCTTAAATTCCTTTATTTAAGGTGATTTTTTTTGAATGAGCCTGGGAGAAAGCCAGCTTGATGAAATAGTGTCAGCACTTCCCAGAGTGACCTGGGGCTAAACACAATCCCTCAACTCAGTGTTAGTCATAAGGGGATAAAAGCTAGAGGAGAAAGAGGTGCGTATGCCATATGGCGCTCCTGGAGAGAAAGGAAAATCTATGTAAGTAAAGCGAGTGGAATATACTAAACTGCTATATTTTGATATTGTCAATATAGTTTACAAAAATAAAGAAACTACTGGCATGAATCTAGAGCAGAGGTCCCCAACCTTTTGGGCATCAGGGACCGGTTCCATGGAGAGAGGTTTTTCCGCAGATCAGAGTGTGTGTGGTTTTGTGTGCTGTCTGCATCTTGCGGATGGGGCTTTGCTTGTTTGTGCGGATCGGTTGCTGGCATGCCGGGGCCTGGTACTGGTCCACGGACTGGGGGTTGGGGACCCCTGATCTAGAGAACAAGGAAGCCCCTTTAGCTCTTCAGAAATGATTTAATGGGGCTGCAAAGGAAGAATCTTTCCAATAGCAGGTCCATTCTGCTGCTAGATAGCCACTGTTGGACAAAACCTTAAACCATTTATGGAATGGCAGGACCTACAGCTGTGGATGCCAATAAAGTCCAAATGCTATACACTGAGCCATAAAGAGCATCACCTTTAACTAAAAAAAGGTTGCCTAGGGACCCATCGTATGAAAACAAAACCTCACAAAAATGATGATTCGATAAACAAAAAAATTCAAAATAATTACCTGGTTCCAAATGTAATTGACATTTAAGAAATATCAAATTTATTATAAGAAATTTATTTAAAGCTGAATTATTTTATATTTTTACTGTTCCTGATTATTCCACTATCTCAGTGGTTCTCAACCTGTGGGTTGGGACCCCATTTGGGGTCGAACGACCATTTCACGGGGGTCGCCAAACAACGCAGTCCGCCATTTTTTTCCCCTTTTCCTTAGCTGTGCTACTCCCTTTTATTCTATTGGCTTTTGAAAGCCAATAGAATAGACTCTCTTGAATAGAGTCTAATTCTATTGGCTTTCAAAAGCCAATAGGAATTGTCCAGGCTGTCTCTGCCCTGCTGAGCCCGCCAAAAGTCCCATTCTGCAAACGGTGCTGCACCAGTTGAGTAGTCCTCGACTTACGACCGGTTGGGGGGTCGCGGCATTAAAAAGGTTGAGAACCACTGCACTATCTTATCCTGATGCTAGTTTGACAAATGATAAAGTTAGTTGCTCTGCATTGCATTTAAGGAAAACCTTAAATGAAATGTAAATACTTTAACAAGAGCAACACTGATGTAGTGGTTAAGGCACCAGACTAGAAACCAGGAAATCATGGGTTCTAGTCCCACCTCAGGCAGGAAGCCAGCTGGGTGACTATGGGCCAGTCACTCTCTCTCATCCCTAAGAAGGTGACAATGGCAAACCACTTCTGAAAAACAGTGCCAAGAAAATTACAGTTGCCAGGAGTCAGTGACGTGAAGGCACTATATAAATGCACACACTGTAGCACAGTGTTTCTCAACCTTGACAATTTTAAGACATGTGGACTTCAATTCCCAGAATTCCACAGCAATGCTGGCTGTGGAATTCTGGGAGTTGAAGTCCACATGCCTTAAAATTGTCAAGGTTGAGAAACACTGCCAAATAAATAGCTCTGATTCTGTATCTCAGAGGCATGCGGAAACCATATTCCAGCTCAATTGATAACACCGCTGCCCTAGCTTTTTGCTCATTCAGAGCCTTTGAATTAAGTTTGTATAAAAAAAACCAGAGCTATCATAGCTACTCCTTTGTATGGAGAGAGATAGTGCCACAATTACACCTGCCTGATGTTCCATCTTGTACCTACATGTACAAAAGTGTATACTTAGAGACAAAGAGACTATAAAAGCTCCTGAATGCTTTGTACTTTTGTCCCTGCTAAGATAAAAACAGAAAGAAAGAAAGACTTGTACTGAAAGAAAGTTTTAAGAATGGTAGCTACAGCTGTGAGAGACTCTTGTTTGGCTCCTGATTAGAGAATTTAATAAGTCTGATAGACTGTAGTTTGGGGCAAAAGGGCACACTCCTGTAAAAGGACTATTCTAAAGGAAGAAAAAGAAACTGCCCTGTGGTCAGGAATTGCCTGTAACCATATCTGGCTATTAACTCCATTGACGAACAGCAATGCACCTCATAAGACAATTTGTAAAGAAAACAGAAGCAGAGAAAGAAAGAAAGAAAGAAAGAAAGAAAGAAAGAAAGAAAGAAAGAAAGAAAGAAAGAAAGAAAGAAAGATTATTTATAGATATACAGAGTTGTACATATTTCATTTGTCCATGAAAATTGGCTTTACTCTTACATGTTTGGCATCATGTGGGAAAATTAAGGATAACAGCAAAACCATGGAGAAAAATGAGACAAATAAGAGTCTTGATGACTGACTAGAAAAAATAGAAATTAAAGTGAATAGCCAAACAGGTGGCATCAATATTATGTGCACAATGTAGAGCAGATCTGCCTGGCAATAATATTTGTTTCCTATCCCTTCCTTATTCTGCCCAAGTGGAGGACCTGGGACAAGAACTTAGCCAATCCGTCAGCCAGGGCCAAATTGCACGCTGCCTTTGCTATATAGGTAGTCCTCGACTTATAATTGGGATCAGAATTTCCATCACTAAGCAAGGTGACTGTTAAATGAGTGGTGCCTGATTTTACAACCTTTTTGTCATGACTTTTAAGTGAATCACAGCAGCTGTTAAAGGAATTGTGTGGTCCGTGACCCCGAGATAACACAACCCTCATAAATACATGCCAAGCTCTTGGATTTTGATCAAGTGATTATGGGGATGCTGTGACAGTTGTACATGTGAGGACCAGTTGTAACTTCAAGCAATCACTAAACAAATGGTTCTAAGTCGAGGACTCCCTTTATAGCATAGATCTGCTTCTGTTCTTTTTCATTACCCCCAAATAACACAAAGGATCGAATCCAACTTGGAATGAATTGTTTGTTCCCTCCTGTGCCTCTATATGTATTAAGTTTCCCTACCTGCTATCTGCACTGCAGAAAAGAAAAGCTTCAACTGAACAGAAAAACTCTTTCTCCCCCCCCCCCCAAAAAAAAAATTCCCAAGTTTTTAGCCAACCCTTTCTGATTAAGGGGAAAATAAGAATATAGTTGAGCTCTATACATTATAAAAAAATGTTTGGGTCTAAGAAAATATAACTGGCTTCTTGTTTATTCTCTTCCCTTCTCCCGTGTTTTATTCTCCATACATTATGCATTTCTCTCTCCTAATAATCCCTCCTTTTAAATAAGCATTTCCAGACTTTTCTAAATTCACCTAACCATCATAAGAGTACCGAGTTCATGCACTAAATTTAGAGTTAGGTACAAGCTCCACGCAGAAAATGAACAGCGCTGCTTTAGAGTTCCTAGTCAAATGTATATGTCTTAGGTTTCTTATATTTATCTTTTTTTTTTTTTACAAAGTTTCCTCTGCAATAAAAAGCCAGGTTTAAACATAATGAGGCTGAACTGCGAATATTTTCCCTTTTTGGAGCTATTTTGGCAGGGGCAAAAAGAAGATGCTTCCGGTAGTGAGATTTGCCAACTGAGTTTTATTAAACAGCTCGCTATTACTTCGCTGCAAAAACAGTATGACACGGTTAGTTTAAACAGCAGTATATTTAAACAAGTTGAAACCAACCGGAGTAAAAGTTGTTTAAATTAAGAAGCATTTCTAGTCTGGGCATACTTATCAGGCAGGACAAGAAGCAATGAATTGGAAAATAATCAAGAAGAGAACCAATGTAGAATTAATTTCCTGAATGTTAAAATGATTAATCAGTGGAATGGCTTGCCTTTAGAAGCTGTGGGTGCTCCAACACTGGAGGTTTTTCGGAAGAGATTGGACAGCCATTTGTCGGAAATGGTATAGGGCAGGGGTAGGCCACCTTGGCTCTTTTATGACTAGTGGACTTCAACTCCCAGAATTCCTGAGCCAGCCGTGCTGAGGGAAGGGAGAGGTTTCCAAGCTGAGCCATGCTGGCTCAGGAATTCTGGGAGTTGAAGTCCACAAATCATAAAAGAGCCAAGGTTGCCTACCCCTGGTATAGGGTTTCCTGTCTGAGCAAGGGCTTGGACTAGAAGCTCTCCAAGGTCCCTTCCAACTCTGTTATGAATTCCATTTAATTGACATCAGGAACCCTATCTAGCTACTAAGAACTGTCTTCCTGCAAAGGATTTCTTCTGGCCCATGGCCATAATCAATAACTACAGCTCTAAACTGCCCTTGGGAAGAAGTGATGTAGCACCAAGTACACCCCCAATTACACTTTTTCTTAGTCATTTAGGAAAGTACTGTATTTATTCTCTGCTTGTTCTTCAGAGCATTCCCCCAAATCAGGAACCTGCTCTGCTTGAGGTGCTCTCTCAAAGTTTCTTCCAAAGCAACAGAGCCACCTCACTCATATCAGTGACCAGGTTGCTTACATCGCACTGCTTTACAGCATTTTGGACTTTCTCGCCAGCACAGGCCAAACTTTCTCCAAAGATGCTAAAGGAAATGGTTGCATTTCTACCAGCTCAGCCAAAGAAATCCAGCCACCCTTCCCCAGATCTCTGACAAAAGCTGTAGCATGAGGAGATTCTTCTGGATTGGTTGCAAAAATTTAGCAACTGCTGCGGAGAGTGTACAACTTGTCTCAGCAAGAGGATTTACCAAAGTCCTTAGCAAATGTGATGGAAAATAAATTTTGGCAAATCAAACCAGAGATTACCTGCAACATAGCCCAAAGGAGATTCTGTCCAAGAGCAATAATGGGACAGAAGCCTCTTTGGTTTTTCCAATGGACAGGCCCCAGACCAAAAGCTTTGATGCACAACCCAGCACTTCATAGACACAAACTGCAACAGCTCTTTGCTTTGTTTCCTAAGTGCTAGCAATCTGAGGACATGTGTGCTCTCCTATTCATGCTATCTGCTGGTTCTCTTCTTGGAGCTTTCCATAGTCCTTCTATAAGTTACGACCTGCTTCACAAGTCTTACTTGAAGGATGAAGGTACACAATATCTTTCACTGTAAAGTCTCGCCCTCGCGTTCCCTTCAGACAGTCAGCAATTAAGCTAAGGAGGAGGAGCCAGCCCAGCGTAGGCCAGGATTCCATAGCAGAGAAGGTGCATCGAACATGCAGATGGTATGAAATCAAGTTCTCCTTGTCACCAGAAGGCCCAGGAATCTAAGAAACACACAAGGAAAAGAAAAACAGGTAAGAAATCAACAGGTAACCCCATACTTGCATAATTCAGGTGGTATAGTAAGACTGAAAACCAACACTGATCCTCAGGCAACAGTTCTACCAAGCTTGGACACCAAGCATGTCAGATATCTTTTACTTTTCATCTTGTAAAACTTGATCACAACAGAAAACAATCGATTTGTTCCCGTTGTTGTTTTTTTCTTACAAAACATCTTGCCTCTCCAGTTTAAAAAAAGTCTTGGCTTGCAAGACTAACAATAGGCATTCCCTCAAAATCTTCAGCAACTCTGCAGAAAGGCCAATGCTAGTTTCTAACCTAACTGGCCACACGGCGCATTTCTCCCTGCACATATATGTATTATTCCCCATAATGATTCGGCAAGACAGCCTTACACCATGGAAATTCACCAGGAATAGCCAGTGGTAACAAGTTCCCAGTGCGCACATATGTGCCTGCAATGTACAGCTTTCCCTGTTCATTATTCATGCGCATCTAATCCTCTCGTTTTAAGCATTCCCCAATGCAACATAAATGGGAAGCTTAACTCGACTTCAAATGAAGTGGCATGTTCTTTTTTCGCGCGGCAAGGTTGCAACTCTGGCTAGTATAGCTGTCCCTATTCTTTCTGCTGCATTTCAAAATCCACACATCATAAAAGACATAATGAGCTCTTCAAATTGAAGCCAAAATCCATGTCTCAGACATGTATGCTCACACCACTGGCCAATAACACCCAATTTTTTATTTTGTAGTTGGAATCCTGAAGTCCACTGTGGGCTATTGTTTTAAAAATGCTGGCAATTTTGCGTGTTATTAATCCAAAGAGATTAGTGGTTGGTTGGCAATGAAAGAAGAAGAAGATTTAGTGCGTTCATAAGCTGTGTGAGTAGTCTTAGCCACAAAAAAAGGCTGATTTCTTTTACTTTAAACATTCTGGTTTAGCACATCAAAGTTATATACATACATGCATATACGTCTGTCCACAGATAGGACCACCATCAAATTATAAAAAAACAATACCATGAAAAATAAGCCACCCACTGATAAGCCCACTCTCAAAAATGTTGTACATTTTAAGTTTCACGACTGGATTTTCTGCAGCTGGCACATTTTTTCAATGGTATTTTGGTTAAATATTTAATGATAGGATGGAAGTGCTTGTTTAGTACTTTAAATTTGCCCTTCGCTACAAAAAGAAAGAAAAAAATTAAATTCTAATCTGATGGGATGTTATATCACTGGTTAGCCTGCCCACAACAATGCCTAGGCCCTAGGCCGTAAAAAATATTGCTCTAAATTATGATCATGTTGATAATGGAATTCCTCCACCTTTCCCATCCCATTTTTATTTCTAAAGAGAATGAAGCAATGTGTGAGGCAGACACAATTCTCAGAGCAAGCTATTTATTATCCCACAATTGCTCGAATAACAAAGATATTTTTTCAGATATTTTTCTCTGAGGCAATTTCAAGCCTTCTTTAACTTTGTCTAAGAACCACTGCGTATTAAATTTAAACAGGACATTTTGGAATTACCTGTTATTAATTCTGCTATAATTATGTTCTCAGCTCAATTAGCGCTCTCCAAAAAAGATGCAAAACGAAAGCACAAGATCTCAGAAACTGATCCCAGACAGATCTAAGATCTTTCTGAAGGGTCAAGTCTTGCGAAGAGCACTTGAAAGACCGACGGATATGGGGTAAAAGTCTTTCTGAGGAAGGGATCTGTTCAGACTGACAGCACCGCCAGTATTGCAAGAACATGTCAACAAGTTCTTGATGTGGTTGTGCTTATTCCACAATTATGGTTGTATTCATACAATACGGGTAGTCCTCAACTTACGACTACAATCAGGACCAGAATTTGCATTGCTAAGCAAGGTGGTTGTTAACTGAATTGCACCCAATTTTACAACCTTTTTTTTGCCATGGCTGCTAAGCGAACCGTAAAACACATGGTCATTAAAAGAATCCACTAACTTTTGCTTATGAGAGGCCAGCCAGGAAGATTGCAAATGGTGATCACATGAGCCTGCAATCATAAATACACGCCAGTTGCTAAGTGTCCAAATTTTGATCATGTGAGCGTGGGGATGCTGCAATAGTCATAAGTGCAAAGACCTGTCATAAGTGATACTGTTGTAATTTCTAACAGTTGAGAAACGTATGGTTGTAAGTTGAGGACCACCTGTATAAAATGGCAACAGCAAGAGCACTTTGACTTATATACCACTTCACAGTGCTTTACAGCCCTCTCTAGAAAGGTAACTCTGAATTATATACATTTTAGATTTTGAATTAAGTTAAATGGTGTTAGGATGCTATCATCACCATATAAATATATAAATGCATAGTTTCTCTCTTATATATGAGAGAAAAATATGTGTGTGTGTGTATGTGTGTATATATATATATATACATACATACATACATACATACATACACACACACAATATAGTGTTCTAAATAATCATTCTTACTAACTAGCCCCATGATGCCACCAATATTCTGGTTATTAAGTTGGAAATAAATGATATTAACATTAGCTGAGCTTGTGGATTTTATTTGGATGAATTCATACAAAGGTTTTTATCATTCAGTGATTGAAGCATCAGGAGAGAATGAATATGTGTGAAATGGCTTAGCAGCAGATCAATTTCTATTGGGAAAATCTTAGATTATCTATTATTATTGGAATAAATTATCTGAATGTAATGGTATGTGGAAAAAATACCACATACCACTACCAATATTGGGAGACAGGACAAAGAGATGCTGCCAAGGAAACAGATAAAAGCCAGCTTAGCTCCTAGTAGGAATGTGATTGGGGCAAGCACCTGCAAAGGGACCCTCCCTAGTTTTGTGGGTTGTAAATAGCAATAGCAAGAACACTTAGACTTATATACCACTTCACAGTGTTTCATAGTCTTCTCTAAGTGGTTTACAGAGCCAGCATATTGCCCCCAACAATCTCGGTCTTCATTTTACCGACGTTGGAAGGATGGAAAGCTGAGTCAACCTTGAGCCCCGGTCAGGATCGAACTCCTGATAGTGGGCAGAATTAGCCTGTAATATGGCATTCTAACCATTGCACCACCACGGCTCTTTTCTTTTAAAAGGCGTGAATATGGTTCCAACACACGTTTTCTACAAAAAGAGCTGAATAGGAATATTAGATACTCTGTTCTACAACACTATAGGGAAACGTGCTACAGTAAAGAGGGCACAACCTTATGAATTAAACGTACTTCTGGGTTATTGTCTTTTGAGCTGATGTCTCTACACTTATTAAAGCCCAAAGTAAATCACAAAAGTAGCTCTAACTAGCAACCTAGCTGCCAAGCCTCTACTGACACTTATATTGTAAAAGCTCCAAGTACAATAAGCCAGAAACCTGCACTAAAAGGCAGATCAAAAGACCAACCAGAAGCATCTCAAGAGAGAAGAGAGAACGAGTGAGTGTACTAACATTGCCACAGGGCAAAGCTCTTAGAACAAATGGTATGAATGCTACCACCAACTCCCACTGCCTAGAAAGTCAAGCCATCTGGGTTTAATCCACAGCTGCTATCACAGTGAAGGCACGTTGACATGCTGAACTATTTGAAAGTAGCATGTGCAAAATAGTTCCTTTTATGAAGTCAATAAAGCAAGAACAGGTGGAAAGGAATAAAACAGAAAGGATAGGAGATGCCAGCCCTTCTTCCTTATGATAACTATATTTTATTCTGGTCATAATACATGGCCACCAGGTGCAGGGTTTCTTTTCAATGCCAAGAGGACAAAAGACCTAAAGATACAAGAGAAGAAAAATGAACTATCAGAAGAATACTGACCATTAAACTATAGGTGAATCACTAGAGCAATGATGGCGAACCTTTTAGAGACCGAATGCCCCAAAACCACCCTGCCCCCTGCCCCTGCTCTGCCACCCGCCCTCAGGGCCACCTACCATTTCCACGGCCCACCGCAGATCGCCCAGGCGGCCAAGCAGCACCATGGCAGCCGGGCCCTCCACCTGCGCCCCACAGTATCATCTGCACGTAATGGGGCGTGAGGGCAGAATCTTGTCCCCGCTGCCCAGCTGCCATGTCCTTGGCTGCGCTGCTCTACATGGGCTGTACCTGGGGGCAACTCTTCTCCAGAGGGGCTGCTGGTGAGAAGGGGGCTGTGGGAGGTGGCGGGGCTGGGGCAATGGCGCATGTGCCCACAGAGAGGGCTATGAGTGTCACCTCTGGAACACGTGCCATAGGTTCGCCACCACTGCACTAGAGGGATGACAGAATCAAAAATGGCGAGAACTGGCTATCGCATGTTAATCCCGGAATGAAGTTCACCATGGATACCCACTCACATTTTAAAAGAAACCCATTAATCATAACCATTAAGATTGAAGGGGGAGTCAACTCTTTAGAACTCAAAATGTTTATGATGCTAGTTTTCCATCTATAATATTTATTTATTTATTTATTTATTTATGAGACTTATATACCGCTTTAAGTGCAAGCACTCTCTAAGCGGTGTACACCAGTAAGCAATGTATATATATATTACATTGCCCCCAACAATCTGGGTCCTCATTTTACCTACCCCGGAAGGATGGAAGGCTGAGTCAACCTTGAGCCGGTGAGATTTGAACCGCTGACCTGCTGAACACAGTCAGCTAAAGTGGCCTGCAGTACTGCACTCTAACTGCTGCGCCACCTCGGCTCTTTTTATTCACTGGGGTGTTCTGAATCCTACTTTCTTTCCCTATTTTTGATCATTTCCATGGTATTTTTCTCTTTCAGCCATTTGAGACTGCTCTAATACATACTTTCAGTTATCATTTAATTCTTTTTTTTTTTCATACGCCCAAATTTTTATAAGGTTTTATCACTTTCAGTACAGCTACTACATCTGTTCTTCAACCCTTCCAGCCAACCTGTCAACCAGCCTGCTCTCACAAGTGGAGACTGAAACAGGTAACAATTTTGTC